GTGGACAGGTAAGTGTGTGTGACCAAAACACTGTTAAGTCTATGCTGCAGCCTTGTCTATTATGCTGTTAAAAATCGAAGGCCAAATCAGAACACGAGTATAGCTTTTTTTAAAAAAGATATTTACTATTTCTGATGGTGAAAATAAGTCGTGCTCATTTAGAAAACCTGGAAATTAAACAGAAAACAAGGAGAAAAAAATGCCTTAACCTCACAGCCCAGCATTAGGGACTGTTAATATTTTGATGAAAATTTTGGAGAGTATAAAAATAAAAATGAATAAGTCAAATTTGATTTGCTATGATGACAGAGTGGAGGTTGCATTGTATCCATTTAAAATTAGCATGTTCTTAACTATCATAATCAACTCATGTATGAGATGGTGAGGTTCTATTAAATGATAACTATGCACGATGTTGCTATTTAGCTGTGTATCATAGACAGTACATCAAGCTGATAAAATTTGCATAGTCCCTTCTGAGAACCAGAGTCTCTAGGAGTGAGTTTCTGACTCTTTAATTGTCCCTGTTGGGGTGACTAATTACCTGGCATAGAAATGGGGGAAAGAAATGTTCCACCACCCTGCAGAGAGGCCTCAGCCTGCACTCCACCACCCCATGCCCTCCTTCGTGGGAGGGGCAGAGCGCAGGCTGAGGAAGGCTTGAGCTGGTACAGGGCCTAGGATAGTGACCCTTGGGTGAATCAGCTGTGAGCCCCAATGCCTGGCCACCAGTGGTCTCCACTGGAGGTGGGCAGTATCGAGGGAGAGTTAGGAGACAGTGGGCAGGCCCTTTTGCTGGATCACAGGGCATAACTTTGATTCTCCCTTCCCAAATGACAGAGGCCTTGCCCTTTACCCAGTGGCCAGGCACACCCTCGGACAGGGAGGTGGAGTGAACACTCAGGACTAAGAATAAGTTTTAAAGTTTACAGTGCCAACTGCATAGCACAGGGATTAGCCCAAAGAAAGTGCTTGATATATGTGTGTAGACTTACTATTGACTAAAGATTTCCAGGAGTGAAAATGTCACTCTGAATTTGTCTTCAAACCTGTTTTGGTAATTATACATTAGAATCATGCTTTGGTGATTTGCATGTTAATTATTTAGTCATACTGTCCATTGGTTAAATACTTTTATCACTAAACTCATAATCAGTGTGTCACCTGTAATCCACAAAGAACATGCGGTAGCAGCTGTGGGTAGAAGAGAAAACAATGGACTAAGTCAAGGTCTGACTTGGGCAAGGTCACTTGGCCTCTGAACCACTGTTTGCTCTTCTGTAAAATGGCCGTGACACAGTACTTGGTTCTAGTTTCTATGTAGTAAATATTTGCCTTCATTTGTTCTTTCATTCGTTGAGAGGCAGTAAAAATGGGGAATTGGATGCAGTCTCTGGATCCTCTTGACCCTAGTCTGTGGGCAGTTAAAGCCAAGCTCTCCTCCCCCTACTGCAAAGGCTCCTCCCTGCACCCCTCCCCCAGCCTCTCCCAGGCACACACACTGGGGGGCCCTTGTCTCTTGAATAGTAGCTTCCTTTGGTGGCCTTTAGCTTGGAAGCATTTATTGTGACATTCACTTCATAATAAAAAGCAACCGAAGGAGGGCTCCATCATGCCCAGTGAAGTCTGGGATAGAAACCAGGGCTTCAGAATCAGAGAGGTATCGCGATCTAGGGCAGAGAGCACTGGATTTGAAGAAAAAGACCTAGGTTCACATCGCGGGGGTGAATTTTAGAAAAGCTTCTTAACTGCTTTACAAAATAACCCCCTTCCTCACCAAGTGATTGATAAGGAAATATATATAATGTGCCTCCTAAACTTTAAGGTATTATCAAAATATAAGGCATTTTAAAGAATCATTTCAGTAAAGTTTTAGCCATAGAGTATAGTCTGTATACTGCCACTAGTTAAGTGCTCTTGGCCGTGTGACCAAACCAGTCAGAGCCCCAGCCTCTCCAGCTGTAAAGTTCAGGAATGGATCTCTGAGACCCAAGTCCAAAGTTCTACAGTTTGCTGTATTGTCATTTTAATCTTGCCTTGGAAAAATAGGTTTAGCAATAGGTTTGAAAAATTCAACCGTTTTGTGTTTTTCACAGGAGAAGCAAATATGACATCCTCATGGAGAAGCTTTCGGCGATGCTGAGCACACGGAGTAACCAGATAGAGACACTAGGAAAGCTGCGGGAAGAACTGGTGAGCTGTCTGGGAGCTTCCCATGTGCGGGGCCGAACTGACCTGCACCACAACCCAAGATCGCCGTCTAGTGTAGATTGAATGAATAGCAGTTGAAAGCCCTGTTATGCTTGGCTGTTCCTAACCAGGAAACAAGAGCAGTTTTCCTTTGTTTTACAGAACGAAAAATTGCCCAGTCCTTAATTTACATCCTTCTTGCTCTAGACGGCTCCCATTTTCCCCTGGGGTTTGCTCTATAAACATTCGTATGAAGTGCTAACTCTGGGCATTTAGGTTTACTTCCGTAATCAAGATTTTAATTTTGTTCCTAGTGGTTTTATGTTGAAATAACAGTGACTCTACTGATCAGGAGGTGAGAGGACATAGGGAGAAAAGCTATTACTGACCTGCTTCGTCTGTGGGCCCAAGAATAGAGGCAGCAATGAAGCGAGAATGAGAGGAAGAAGGCATGGAGGTGATGCAGCCTCCGGTCTGATTTGAACAACCTTCAGTGGCAGTTAGGGGGAAAGCCAACTTAGAAATGGGAGAAAAGCAAAATTGCCTTGCAGGTTAAACAGAACTTAAAATTTAAAGTCAAAATTTTAGGGTAACAGTAATTAGTCCCCAAAGGAACATGGTGTAGAGTCTGATTGTAGACACCAGGATGATCCTTGGACTGCGTTGGCGAAGCTCTAGTCTCTGATTTCATTGTTCTGGGTGGAAGCAGTCTCTCCCCAATTGCTAGATACAATGGCATGTCCAAGTCTCTTTAAAGTAGAGGTTACAAACCGAGGCTTGTTGCTCAGATTTGGCCTGTACATCGTTAAAAATAAATTTGACCTAGCATTTTTTAAAAACTGAGATTTCACATAAAAAATCTGTTTCTGGCTCCCCTTGAAATAGCAGAAGCTCTGGCAAGTGTGGGCCTTCAGTCTCTTGTGACAACAGTTTTAGATGGAGCTAGCTATGCACTGGCCAGCTCCCCTGAGACTCTCTGCTTCTGTCACCCCCAGACACTGAGGCAGAGAGTAGGTGCCATTTGTCATTACATGTGCACTGCTGTTTATGGTAGTAAAGAAATATTTCTCTATCTGAGTCTCTATCAAAGGTAAAAAATAAAAAGTCGACTGTTAAGTCCTCTTCTTGAGAGGCCCTAATAGAAATGAAGAAAATTGCTTAATGAACGAATATCTGCCCACTTTGTTCTTTAGATTTCTTGTCCAGCCCATGTGGACATTGGAGACTGAAACCCTCTGCCTTACTGAGTCACTTGAGGGGAGAGGCTGGGCATGTCCGGTCTCAAGTCAGCACTGTGGACAATCTAAACAACAAGATTCAACTGTTACAGGGGATATTATTTCATTTATTCATTCAACAGAAACTTTAGTGAGTATTTACTTTGAGTCAGAACTGTGTTCCACACTGAGATGACAAAAAGGAATGAGGATAACAGGTCTTGCGCTGTCGTGGAGCAGCCTGACTGGAGGGGCAGAGATGAACACACAAGCCAGAGCGCTACTTAGAAAGATGTGTCTGAGCTCCGTGAAAAGAGAGATGTACTTTCTCCAGAGATCTGAGAGAAGCTTTGTAGAGAAAGTTGCAGCTGAGCTGGGCTTTGAAAATTAAGTGTTGCCAAAGGAGACAGAGGAGAAGTGGCATTTCCAGTGAAGGAGGATGGCTTGAGCAAAAGTGTGTCATTGCGTGAGGCTGTGAGACTCGTTAGAGGTTGGCAGTCATCCAGTGAGCAGTGTACTTGGGCAAGAGTAGTAAGAGATGTGGCTAGAAAGGAGAGTTGGGGCCAGATAAGAAAGGTCTTGAGTGCCAGGCAGAGGAGGTTGGTCTTTAACTTTTAGCCCGATAAAGCGCTGGTGGTAGTTTAGAAGTAGAGAAGTTGCCAAAAGGACATGAACTGGCAGACTGACAGGAGATGGGAAGTGTGGCAACGAGGTGGACGCTCTTGCCTCGGGCTTGGTGGGTGACTGGCTGGAAATGTTTGAGAGACATTTTGGAGGTGACACTAGCAGGACTTGGTGAGTGACCAAAGCCAGGATGTAGAGCCAGTCTCACCTGCTTGCCCCCCGCAGAAGCAGACTGGAGCTTGAGGGCGGGGACCATGTCTAGTCCCTGCTGACCCCCTCTGCGAGGAGAGTGCCTCGCCCAGCGTGAAAGCTCAGTAAATATTTGTGAATGAATTTATGCATGAAATGGAGAGTATAGAAAGAAGTTTGGGTGAGGAGGAGACACACAGCAAATTTGATTTCAGGACTTATTGAGTATGAGGATCTTCTGAAACATTCACCTGGCAGGATTTAGTGAGTACTTAGCCTGTAGATGAGGTCAATGCCATGTAGATGCTAACTTTAGTGTGGGGGGAGGTCTCCCATTGCTTCTTTCTCTTTTTGCTGGCAGATTGTGTGAGCCCTTGCTGGCAGCCCCCCAGAAGGCAGGGCTACATCATCCTCCCTCGCTTAGTATGGGCTGGGTCTCAGGACCATATGCTGAGGGCTGGAGTTTGATGAACGAGTTTCCGAAGGGCCTTTCCATGATGCCAGGAGCACAACTAGATTAACGATAGATGCCAGTTCCAAGCCAGTGAGTTTGAATGAGCCATATGTGAGTCATCTGTATTTCTTTGATAGCCATATGTTCTGCTGCCCAACAGCTAGAGAGCTGGCTGGTCTGAGGGTTGATCACATATACGTGGTGGCAGCGGCCCACAGACATTTACTCCCTCTCTCTCCCCAGAGTGTAAGAGGAGACCTGTAAGACTCCACTAACAACTCTTAGTCGTCAGGCCTCCTGTCATTCAGCCCGTAACTTACAACAGTAGTAACTTGTCTTACTGTTCAAGGGGTTACAAATCCAATGCCAGCAGTGGCAGGGAGGGCAGCGTAAATGAGTAAAACCGTTCAGGTGAAGAAGTGGAGAAGTATGGATTGATATCAATGTAGACTCAAGAAATATTTAATTATCCTTTTAACTTCCATAAGAGAAAAGCAACAGAAAAACGGTGAAAGATGGGAACTGACTTTCAGCCGTTGTGTAAGGGCCTCATGGGAACGTGAAGGCCGTGGCACTTCGGGGACCCGTGTGCCAGTCTGGAGGGAGCAGCTGTCCTGGGCTCCCCCTGACTGCTGCCCTGAGGAACCAAAGTCTTGGGATTTGTTGCCAGATCTTGTTTTTCAAGAGAAGTCAGAATCTGGATTTTTATATGAAATTTCTCACTTTTCAATGTTGGCAAGTAAATTACTTTAAAAAATATATAAAGAGAGAGATGAAAAAGCATGGCCAGTTCTGGAGGCTGCTTGTTGGCAACTCCCTCAGTTCAGATGCACTTATGGTAATTTGGGTTGTACCACTTTGCAGAAATATGAGTGACAAGGTGGATGATGAAACTACACAGATTGACTAAAACTTTTTTAAACGTTTTTAATATTTTTCTATTTGTTCCACTGTCCGTAGGAGGGTGTGTGTGTGTGTGTGTGTGTGTGTGTGTGTGTGTGTGTGTTAATAATTAATATACTTACTTGGTTGAAAAATCAGAACAGATCTACGGCCATGCCACCCTGAACACGCCCGATCTCGTCTGATCTCGGAAGCTAAGCAGGGTCTGGCCTGGTTAGTACTTGGATGGGAGACCACCTTGGAATACCAGGTGCTGTAGGCGTTAAAAAAAAAAAATCAAAACAGTATGAAAAGGTATGCAGCGAAAAGTCTCCTGTTTCTACTTCCCTCTTTCTCATTCTCACTCCTTTGTATCCTTCCAGGATCTCTTTAGGAAAGTCTCTTTTCTCCTCTTGTAATCAAAAGGTAGAATTATTAATTCTGGACCTTGTTTTGTTCCCTTGACACGGTAGCTTAGCAGTCTTTCCTCATTAATACCGCCAGTATGTCCTCATTCAAAATAACCAGTTAGCTTAGGTCTGGAACTGGTATTCGTTTACATGACTCTTTAGTAGTTTCAGACACCTTGCTTGTACCTAAGAGCTTTAACTTTTGTTTTGGCAGGGACTGTGCGAAAGGACGTTTAAGCGTCTGTACCAGTACATGCTGAATGCCGGCCTGGCCAAGGTGGTGTCTCTTCCCTTACAAGAAATCCACCCTGAATGTGGACCTTGTAAGACAAAGAAAGGTAAAGACGGTCTTGGTCTCTCTTTCCTGGGCTGCATGGCCGGCTTTCATTCCTCCTGCCTAAGCTCCAGCTTATCTCATCACCTCTGGCTGCTGTGGGATGATTTCACATATTTTTTCAGCCCTTTATTCCTCTGTGCCTAACTTGGGATCTTCTATAAAAGAGTGCTCAGGAAATGATTGTCCAATGAAAGCAATTCTTACTTCTGGCAAACATCTTTATGTAGCTGTCCCTCTAACGTCACAAATTCATGGTGTCCAAAGAACAAGTTCATCTTGTCCTTCTTACACTAACTCGCTAAAGTACATAGTCTGTGTTGCATGATCCTATCATCTAGCCCCACTAGGCAGGAGATAGTATCACCATTTTACACATAAGACAATTAAAGTTCAGAGATGCTGAATAACCTATGTAAGGTTGAGCAGTCCATAAGCAGCAGAGGTAGGATTTGAACCTTCTAAAAAAGTTAAACTAAGGACAGTGGCCATACAACTTTAAAAACTTTCCTTAGTCCTTTATTTTTCTCCATTCCTGATTTTCGTATCATGCTGTTTACCCCTCCTGATTAAGCAACATCATTGAAAAAGCTGAAGGTCAGAGCTTTCAGTAAAAGATGATAGGCTCTTCCCAAATTCTACTCTAGTAATGATAAGGGATATAAAAGGAGCAAACCTGCAAGGACAAAGATAAGAGGCCAGGATGTGACAGCAGAGAGAGTTGTCAACAACATTTTGGTACCCAAAGACAGACAGACAAATGGTAACTGAGTGGATTGGGAAAGCTAAATGCCTATGAAGGGCAATAGCCTAGAACTGATACCTCTAAAACCCAAAATCAACTGAAAATATGAAGATTCCACATACCTTTGAAAGCACAGGTGTGGATGGGGCTGGAGACAGGAGAATCAGTCAGTAGACTTTGTGGAAAGCCATTCCACCCCCCCGCCCCGGGTCCCCTCCCCTTCTGTGCACATCCAGGGCAGAATCCCTTCCCTCAGAGACACAGGTCTGGACTTATCCCAAGAGAAGATGCACCAGAGGGATTCTAGACTCACAGACATGAGACCCAGCTGGGGACAGTGTACTGTGCTGAAAACGGGGCTTAGGTGACAGTCTCTCTACACTAAAAGATGAGAGTCTCCTCACTGCCATTCCCGGTTTGGCTCTTAGAACACTGACAGCCAGACTTACAGTCCCCTAGGCCAGAGGCCGGAGGCTTCTTTTCTGCAGAAACTAACCAGTCCAAGAGAAAAGTCCTCTAGATACTGAACTTTAGAGGTTCTCCATCAAAAGAGCTGGCCCCTGCCTACTCACCCTTCATGGAAGCTCACTCGATTCTTCCTCCTCCCAAAACACCTAAAACACAGGGCTTTGGGGCAGCATTTTAATGCTTTATCCAACATCTGAGGAAATCTCTAGTATGGATATAAGAGAAATAAGCAGACTTAGGAAATAGAAATATAGTGAGGAGCAGAAGAAAACGTTTAAAAATCCTTGGAGAGAGAAGAAAAGAGATTATATCCATGAAACAACAATAAGAGACTATAAGGAAGGGACATGGCGGAAAATAAAAAAGAGCCCTTAGAAGTAAAAGAAATATGACTATTGCAATAAAAGATTTAGTAGAAGGGAAGATAGTGAGATAAAGTTGGGAAAATCTCCCAGAAAAAACAAAAACTCAAACAAGATGGAAAATGGGAAAGCTAAGTTGAAACTAAGAGGCTGAGCCTGGAAAGTTCAGCATTCACTCAACGGGGGCTCCAGAGAGGGAGGGAGGGAATGTGTCCTGGGGACTAGAGCGGAGGAGAGGATGAGAAATGACACCAGGCGTTTTCCCAGATCTGAAGGACTAAGGCTCCAGATCAAAAGACCTATCAGGTACCTAGCATAATGAACATAAAGAACCCTGCACCAAGATCCGGCATCCTGAGACTTCAGACATCTGGGGATAAAGAGCTTCCAAGGAGCAGACATCCGACTGCCCAGTAGTAACTGATGCTGGAAGACCTTGGAACAAGGCCATCAACATTCTAAAGGAAATAGACTTTCAATGTGCGCTGAATGGGGACAGACGCAACACTTAGCTCCGCCTGCAGAAGGAAGGTGTTCATACTCGTTGAGTGACTCTGAAATTCCAGTGTGAGGGAACTCTGTCTCTTTCCTGTTTCCTGACTTAGTGGGCTCACTGCCCACCCTGTCTAGCCCTGTGCCTGAGGAAAGTCTAGTGGAGGAGATGGGAACACACACATGTTACCACACAGCAAGTATCTAAACAAAAAGGTGCATCTTGGAGGAAGAGAAGCCCCTCTAGAGCAGACCTCATCTTCGAGTCCTTTCAATGATGACAAGTGTGTGACTGGTTGAATGACTGGAATTCCTCAGGGGAAAGAGCGGGTGGAATCATCCTTTAAGTAGACAGGAATCTAAGAAGTACTGCTGGACCCTGTGGCAAGGAAGAAAAGGTTCCAGGAACCAAGAAGTGTGCTGGAGACTTAACTGTTGGAGGATTTGGAAGTGAGCTTATCTGAAGGTTTAAAATAGTCCTGACCTGTGGATCTGTTGTAAGAAAGGCATTAAAAATAAATAGACGAGTAATTTTATTTTTAAAGTGAAGAGAAACTAAGAAGGAAATATCCTTGAAGAACCTCTCTTGTTGGGCAAGCAGCTCTGGAGCAAAGCTGCTTCTAGGCTTGCAGTCCCTAGAAATTCAAACCAACCCCTTGAAAGTAAAGACACCTGGATGGACTGTAATGTAAGACAGCCCTGGGCTAGATTTCTTGCTCTGTCACTCCCTATTGGGGTGACCTTCAGCAAGTGTTAACCTCTCTGTGCCTCAGTTTTCTCTTCGGGATTATCTGGGGATAATAATACAACATTCCAGAGTGTTGTGGGCTTCCAGGTGACAGCATATACAGAACAGAGGCCATAAGCTGGTGGCCCATAGGCCACATCCAGCAGTGCATTTTGTTTGGCTCACAGTTTGTTTTAATTGAATTAATTTCTGGCATTTAAAAATCACCTAAAAAGTTAGCCTTTAAACTTCTCTATAAAAATAAAACTAGACAACATCGAACTGCATTTCTTTAACAGCAGTTAGCAAAGGCAGAGAGGTGCTGCCCCCTTTCCGTGGGGCCCGCCTTCCACATTCTCCAGAGGCACCTGCTTCCTGCTGTGGCATCCACAGCCAGCTCCATGCTGGTATGTTATCCACCTGACCTTGAAGGTATGATCATGCTCATAGGGCCTGTCACTCAGTGAGTGGTCCCAGTTATCTTGAGGCCTAGTGCTGGGAAGATGAGCCCTCTGAGGAGGGTCAGTACCCTAGAACACTGCCTAAGTATTGAAGAGAGTGGTGACTTCAGCTCCTTACTCAAGATAAAGAGGGCAGGCACCCCATATAATGAAAACAGAATTTTTAGATTGTCACATACATGCACAGTGATCCCATCTTAACTGTGCAAAGAGGCTCATCTCATCCCCATGGTAGTTAGTCTTGTCTCCCACCACTCTGCTGCTCAGTCTCATGGTCAACCTTCCCCTCACATCCCATGTCACACTATCTCAGTTATTTGTGTGACTATTTCCAGTTATTGTGTGAGTTCCTTGAGGGTAGTGGCCATACCTCTCACATGCTTTCCATCCTTAATGCCTATGCGGTGTCTGCTTGGAACAGAGTAGGTGCTAAATAAATGTTAAGCAAATTTAATTTAATTAGATGCCACTTTAGTTGCTTTTCTTGTATAGGAGACAAGGGATAAATGCAGTGTTAGTCTTTTTTTGCCTTGAGCTTTGTCATCCAAAATTAACATAAAATCTTCCCTCTAAGGCATTATGGAGTAGATAAGGCTTAAATAATAAATAAAGATGATGTATTACTTCATGTAAATTTACAGGTGTGCCTGGATATCTATGAGTTGTTTCTAAAAGCCCATAAAGAGCTTGGATTTAGGCATATTTCAAATGCCTTACAGAAAGCTGCAGTGATCTATTTTATAAGAAGCAAAAAAACCTTGGTAATGAAAACAGTCAACTTGATCTGATCTCTTGCAAATTTAGATTCATTTCTTCAAGTGTTTAATAGTCATTCTGTGTTTATTAAATTGTGCTGAGGACGGGGGAAGAGAGAGAGAAGTTAAAAATGATCACAATTGGAAGCAGTTGACAGAAGTCATACTCCTTGCGTCTAATGCCTGAGATGGTCATTTGAGCAGATATTCCAAGTTCAGTGACAAGGCAATGAGCATTGAAGAGGATGGGGTGGGAGTCCTAGCATCTGTATCTGCCTGTTTATGATGTGGATTCTTCCCACAGATATTACACCATAACTCTTAAGAAATAAAACACAAGTTCAGCAAAATTTGCAGAAAACAAGATGAATATACAAAAATCAGTTGTATTTCTATACAATTTTAAATGAACAATCCAAAAATGAAATTAAGAAAATAGCATCAAAAGCAATAAAATACTTAAGAATAAATTTAACAAAAGAAGTACAAAATGCATACTCTGAAAACTATAAAACATTGTTGACAGAAATTTAAGATCTGGGTAAATGGGAAAACGTCCCCTGTTCGTGGATTAGAAGACAACATCGTACCACACAGTGCTCCCCAAACTGATCTTCAGATTGAGTAGTTCCTGTCAGAGTCCCAGCCGACTTTGTAGAAATTAACAACCTAATTCTCAAATTCATATGGAGTTGCAAGGGACCCAGAAAGCTAAAACAATCCCGAAAAAGAAGAAACTAGGAGGACCCACATTTCCAAATTTCAAAACTTATATAAAGTGATAGTAATTAAGATAGCATACTACTGACACAAGGGTAGACAGAGATCAATGGAATGGAATTGCAAGTCCAGAAATAAACCCACACGTCTGTGGTCAACTGATTTTTTTTTTTTAATTAAATTTATTGGAGTGACATTGGTTAATAAAATTATATAGGTTTCAAGTATACGATTCAATAATACGTCATTCATATATTGCATTGCGTGTTCACCA